ATTTTTTTTAGTGTAAAACTGGATTTCTTTGAATTGTTTTGGAACTAGGTGATAACTCATTTTGCAGATCTTTGTCAGTACCTTATATACCTAGGCTGTCAATTCAGCGCCTGAAAAGACATAGTGGCGGCCTGTATGTCATTGCCAAAGTTGCGTAGCCATAGTGTATACTTTAGACTCATTTATCTACCAATGCCTACCAAATTGCCAACGTTGTATCAACATAATGGTAATACTTATCGGTGGAAACATCTACCTTCATAGGTTTGTGCTCTTTGCAAATTATACTAAGTGACATATAAATCCGAACACCCAGCTTAAATGGTTTTATTTTAATAAAAGTTGGTGAATGTATTTACCTTACTGTAAATAACAAGTGAAAAAATTTTTAGCCTTATCAGTTGGACATTCCGGTTTTTATACTGCTTTTTTTTAATTCACTAACGCTCTAAAAATGAATATTTCAGCCGCAGTAAAGAATCAACGTTGGCGGATTTTGGTTCTTGACATCCTTTACGATCGGTTACGATGCCTAGAGTACGGAGACCTGTACGATTTCGTCAACTTAGTGAGTTTGATAGGGGCCGTATAGTGGGACTTCGGGAAGCTGGACTTTCTTTTCGGGCAATTGCAGTTAGAGTGCAAAGAAGTGTAGACACTGTGGTTAGGTGTTGTCAGGCATGGCTTCGAGAAGGCCGTACGCAAAGAGCAAGGGGCACTGGACGCCGCCGTAGAACAACAGACCGTGAAGATCGCCGCCTAAGATTATTGGCCTTAAGGGACCGTTTCTCCACTACCAGATCCATTGCAAATGAATGGTTTGCAGAACACGGAAGACCTATTGGCATGCGAAGTGTTTACCGACGAATGAGAAGTTTTGGCTTGTTTTTATACCGGTCACACTGGGTCCTCCCTTTAACTCGAGAACACCGACGTAATCGCCTTGAGTGGTGCAGACAACGGTCACTCTGGGATCAGGAATGGAACAGTATTGTCTTTAGTGACGAGTCTCGATTTTGTTTAGGCTTGCACGATGGTCGTGCCAGGGTTAGAAGGCGACGTGGTTAAAGGAGGAATCCACAGTTTTTTGTTGAAAGACATGTTCATCACACTGTTGGAGTTATGGTTTGGGGTGCTATAGCTTATGGTTCCAGGTCACCTTTAATCTTCATCAGAGGTAACATGAACGCGCAGCGTTATATCCACAAAGTTCTAGAACCCCATCTTTTACCCTATCTTGACACCCTGGCAGATCCAACTTTCCAACAAGATAATGCCCGACCACATGTTGCAAGAGTCACAATAGACTTCTTTCAACATAATGATGTCACATTGTTACCATGGCCACCAAGATCTCCCGACTTATCCCCAATTGAGCACGTGTGGGATATGATGGGTAGGAGATTGCTCAATTTGCAACGTCCTCCTCAGACTCTAGAAGCACTTCGAGAGGAGTTGGTGGTTGTCTGGAATGAGATACCACAGGAGGACATTGACCACCTGATCAGAAGCATGCCTAGGCGCGTTGGAGAATGCGTAGCACATCAGGGTGCATCCATACATTATTAAAGGTCAAAGGGCTTTAAAGCAGTGCAATCATTTTGAAATTTTTATCATTTACTTATTATGCTTCATTGAGTACTTATACAAAATTTTATTAAAATAAAACCATTTAAACTGGGTGTTCGGATTTATATGTCACTTAGTATATGTAAGAAGTACTATCGTGAAATTATCATCAACGCCGCAATTATCTGCAAACACCCACCCACACCTTATGGGCAGTATCGTCAACAACTCTATGGCGTCCCTGACTTCCATAATATCTTGTCTCCTTCAGTATATATGCGTTAGGTTTTTATTTTGACGTTTAAGAAATTTTAGATAGATGAATCAAAGGTAGAAGCATATTTTTTGCAAATAATGTTGATCAGTCAATAATAATTCCCTATATTTCACAACAAATCCCATATCTGGTATTAATGGTCTGAAATGAATGAATGAATTTTATGTAAATTGATGTGTATTTATATATAGAAGCCCAACCAAGCTATTACCTTGATGAAGGTAGGTAAGTTACAAAAATAATCATTGTATAGTCAACGCCAAACAAAGTGGCGTGAACGTCATCAAGGTGGGTGTGTTGAAAAATTTACATTGTTGCCAAACTTTTTGTAAAATAATAAAATTTATTTACATATCTAGGTTTATAAGCAATATTAACCTCAAATGAGAACAAATATAATAGTATAATAAAATTATAGATCTGTACTTGCATAATTATTAAGTATGACAATTATTGATCAGATGACACTATGAAACTACCATATTTAATTGATAGCTTAAAGGTACTGAATAAAAATCCAAATGGGGTCCTCCAAATTTTATGCATGGTATTTATTTTACAGAATTCATACAGAAAAATGCATTCTAAAATTAGGTAAGCTACTGGTGTAAGCTTTTTCTGTACAATAAAGTTAGTCGGAGTTTCTTTCTTCAGCGCTGTCTGAATCTGAATCTTCATCACTCTCAAAGTTGATTATTAAAGGTTCGATGTCTGGTCGATCAAAAATTCGTTCTCTTTCATACCATTTAAAAATTTCTTGCTCAGTATGTCGAACACTATTTTTCCACATGTCTGGGGTAACCGTTTCTAGAGCCTCGTTCCACATATCCAAACAGTCTTTTTCACTGTTACCATCTCTACCAATATGTCTGTTATAGTAACCTTTTGCTATGCCCCAAATTAACTCAATAGGGTTAAATATACAATGGTAAGGAGGCAGACGAAGAACTTTGTGCCCATGTTGTTCCGCCAATTCATCAATCACGTATATTTTAGGTGGTTTGTTTCTAAAAAAGCAGTTATTTTAAGAATAGGAATAAACAAAAGAAATATAAACTGTCGACCAAAATATATATAATTAAGAAGCATTATGTACCGAGCAACAATACTCAATAGCTCTGTTTTAAACATTGTGCTTAAAAATGGTATGTTTTGATTTGTCAACCAGTCTTGGATATTTTTTTTTGTCCATGCATTGTTGGGCACTTTGTTCAATATCATGCTGTGATAAGGGGCGTTATCCAGTATAATCATAGATGGACTCTCCAATTTTTCTAATAACTGATGTTGAAACCATTTCAAAAAATTGTCCTGGTTCATCTCTCCATGGTAATCGCTCAATTTTGTTTTCGAAGAAAATATCGCTTCACTACCCTCAATAAACCCATTTTCATTTCCAGCATGTAATATAATGTATCTAAAATATATTAGTTTTAAATTTTATAGTGCAAATTATGTAAAAGTACATACCTTTTACCATCTGTTTTAATAGCTTTCACGCTTTTTTGGTTTCCATTTTGCCAAGAGCGACCTATGGTCCCATTTTGAAATATCCAAGTTTCATCGAGGAAGACAAACTGGTATAAGGCCTCAACCTTGGCTTGATTGTATTGCCTTAGAAATTCCACCCTTTTCAAAGCTATACTTGGTAGTTCCATGAGCCCTCATCGCGGATTGTCCTTAAGCCACTTAAATCCAAGATCTCTAAGCAACCGCCTTAAAGACGTGGCACTACCATCAAATAATGCCCCATCTCTTAATCGAGACCATAAAGTTTGTATCGTAACTTGTTCTTCTGAAACCATGTGTAATATGACATTATAATTTAGTTAACAAATTAATGCAAATTTCTGATAAGTTATTATAATAAGATCTTACTTTTGTGATACATATTATAGATCACTTCTCGAATGGCACTTGTATCCTTGTGTTGGTTACACGTTTAATATAACTCCGCTTTTTCTTGGGCGATTCTAAATTTGCATCACTTTTCACACCCTCGGAAATACGACTAACTGTCCTTAAACTAATTTTTAAAGCAGCAGCAACACGCTACAAAAAATGAAATAAAATTTCACTATTATTAATATACATTACATATAATTATTAGTAACCTACCTCTTGAACAGCATTTAAAGGCAACAAAGGCCCGTTGTTGTCCCTTTCTTGCTCAAAGTAATGCATTAACGAGGCCACGAGTTCCTTACACCGACTATTTAACTCTTTGGGCATCTTTATATACCAACATTGCCTTTATCTACTCGTAAAATGAATAATTTTGTTTTGAAACAAACAGTTGTTGATTTACCGTATGCGGGGCCAAAGGATTTATAAAGATTTGAAATGCCACAAATTGATTCAGTGTCAAAATTAATACAAATGTCAGTTCCCAGTTTAAATAAGTTTCAAGGTGACAATGTGTCAACGCTGCGAAATCGGTTTAGTGCGTTTACATGTCGATAAGTGATTGGAGCGTTTGCAAAACATTTTATTTCGCATAATGCGTCTAAATTTATCAGAAAGCAACTTATGTGATATTTTAATAACAATGTTTATATGACTATTAACCATAATAAGAGAGTAATGACCATTTTACAATTTATATATCACATTAATATGAAACTGCAATAGAGCAATTGTTTGTGATAGAAACCTAGGCATTAGGTCGGGGAATTTTTATCGTGATGACGTGCACGCCACTTTGTTTGGCGTTGACTATATATTCATATTTATACACTTATCACATTTTTTTCAGATGTGATTCATTCTCACAAACTCTATGAGATGTTGCTAAGAAACATTGTATCCCAAGTGCAACTACATTGTTGATGTCGGAGATGCCTGTTCACAGATCATTGTTTGAATTGTGTAGAGTGTCAGGCTACAAGTATCTAAAAGTATGACGATTCCGCCCCTAGATGAAGAGAAAATACGCCGAAGGCTCTTATTGATATGATGGGACGTTAAAACGTTGATAAAACTACACTAGTGCTCATGTTAGTATAATTATCGTTGTAGCTAGAAAAACCAGCAACACCAAGTGTTATTTATAAGAATAAAATGCGAATGTCTAAAAGTTTTCCTTATCTTCGTTAATATGTTAAACTGTAGACATTTAAAGATATTTTTTTTGCATTACCGTAAGACGCAGAAAGTTGCTTTTTCGACATATGGTACGTCTATCAAATTAAGGATGTATTGATGATTCGTTTGACAAGTGATTGCTGCAAGTTTGATCAATAAAATTCATTGAACAGTAACTTATTGAAACGTCATGACGTGGATCCTGATTTGTTAGTCTCATCATCAACTTGAACGGTAAAACTGTAGATGAAATGGAAAAAACCATGGAATCTGATATAGAAAAACTGCGGCAAAAACGGGCATACAACGTTTTTTGTGATCGAGTACCTCCACAAAATCGCATAGCTTAACCGAGTTATAGTGACAGCCGTGGTGGGAAAACCATTTCGTTTATTATTTTCTTTATTAATATTGGAAAGACCTCTAACTCAGGCTATTCAGCGTAATTACTGTCGGTATCAAATGGATCTGGCCTCTTGTTGTCCCCTCATGCGAGGATGGCAAGCTAGAGTATGGGTTATAAAAAAGAGGTTTGAAGGGGTTCCCAAATTAAGTGATTTTGAAATTAAAACAGAAACGATGGCATCGGAACTTAAAGAAGGAGGTGAGTACTTTAATACTAACTTATAGTAGGTAACAGTGCTTATATAAGTCGGGCAGCCCCTCGGGCCTCCTGAATGGCACATAGTACTAGAGCTATGTGAATTTGCCCATATTAAGGTTAATTACTATTATTGCCACTTCGCCGTCACGGACGTAGCTATAATATTCTTATTAAGGGCAGCGTCAAGAAATATTCTGTATAATTTTCTAATAATTAATTGTAATTTGGGGTCTAAAGGAACACAGTTTCTAAGTAAAAGGCTGAGTTCGCTATAGTTCCCGATAATAGAACACGGAAATAACTTTTTATCCATTTCTTGAATACCTATCTAATTATTTTATCTTCGTTTTATTATTTTTTGTGTGCTAATGTTATTTCGGGGGTGAGCTACAGTAGCTCATTTTATATATTATTACTAATAAAAATAATAATAATAAATATCCTTTATTTGAGCGAATTTTAGCTTAAGCTATTCCTCCACGTACCGATTCAAAAATAAATACAAATATGAATAAAACAGATAAATGACAATAAGACTCATAATATAACAGAAGTATCATACATATTTAATATAACTCTTAAATGAATCAATACTATTTTTATAAGCAGAAGTGAAAGATCAGTATTTTTAATTTTAGCACTCTAAGGGGAGATTCTTGATATGTCTGTTAAAGTAATCAAATGTTAAAGATTTAATTTCAGGGCGTAGTGAATTACGAATATATAGATAGGTCGCATGAAAGGTGAAACATTTTTGGAAAAATGAAGTTCTGTGGATAGGCATAGTGAGTGTATCTAGGAAGCGGATATCTGTAGAATATATATATATATATATATATACGATTTATTAGTTTTTCCTTTAAAAACGGAGGTAATGCGGTAATTTGGAGTTTATGAACATAACACAGTAAGTGATATGTATATAATTTTGTAAAATTCAACCAACCTAGTTCTTCAAAAGATATCGAAATGTGATCGTACTTTTTCAAGGTTTCTACTAATCTACAGCAAGAATTTTGATTCTTTTTGCAAGCGTTTCATAAATGCCGAATATAAAAATGAATGGTAAACAATATCGCAATATTATATATATATATACATATTCATTTCAATGCAAAATAAGTCTATAACGCATAGGTGGCTGTGAAAAATAAAAGCCATGACAACTGTTTTTATTAATCACAGCTGTCAGAATACGTTTAAAATAGTTTTGCGTAGTTAAGGTGTTCAAAATGGGTAGAAGAAAGGTTATTAGTGAGAAAATTCGGTTAGTGATAATTAAATTTTTTAATTCTGGGAAATCAATTTGAGAAATTGCAACTTTGTTAGACTTATCGCGGTACAGTGTGAGAAATATTGTTAGAAGATATAACGTAACTGGTTCAATTAATATTAAGCCACGATATGTGAAAAAAAGTAATATCACAAACGGGCGTGCCAATTATTTTCAATTAAGTGCTCTGTGGAGTGGTGCTATTGGAAGGAGAATTTCGAGGTCCACAACTCATAGAGACGCCCACAAACTGGGATTTAGCACAAAAAAGTAAAGTAAAAATCCTAAAGTTGCACAACTTGTTTATAGGCCAAAGAAAAGCCACTATTAACTCCACTGCAAAAGAAAAAACGGCTTAGATGGGCTAAAGAACATAGACACTGGACAATGGTGTGCAATACAATGGAGTGATGAGGCCCCATTCGAAGTTTGTGTTGGTGACAGTCGCAGTAGAGTTATTCGCAAAAAAATGAAGCACTCCATGATGACTGTCTGAAGAGAAAAGTGAAATCAGCAGCATCCATTATGGTATGGGGCAGTATGTCATCAAAAGGAGTAGGAAAACTTCATTTTATTGATGGAAATGTGGACACAAACAAATATTTGGCAATTTTAGAAGAATCGCTTTTACCAGTGATGGAAGAATGTTTGACATCCGGCCAAGATTTTGTGTTTCAGCAAGATGGTGCAGCGTGTCATACCTCAAAAAAGGCTATAAAATGGATGGAGGAAAATAATGGACCACTTTTGAAATGGGTTTCTAGCAGTCCAGATCTGTCACCTATTGAAACTTTGTGGCACAACATCCTGCTCGTACAATCACCGCAGTGAGACAAAAGCTTCAAGAATATGGGATTGTTTTACACCAAATTTTTGCCAAAACCTGGTTAACACTATGCCCCAAAGAATTTCAGCCGTAATAAAAAATAAAGGTGATGTTACACAATGGTAATCTTTCAATTGTTGCTTTGTTAACTTCGCGCATTTATTCGCACATTGTTTATTTGTTCAGATGTTCTATTAGTTATAGGTCTAAGTGATTTCAAATATGTATTTTTTACGACTAGAGTGTATCTAAGATGTTTTTGAGAAAATAAATTGTTTTAGAAGTAAGTAGTTTCGTCGTGTTTAGTTTGTAAAGGCATATTTTGGTACAAATCTTGAAGTGGGCCAACTGAAGTGGGAAGGGTATATATATATATAGAATATATAACAATTTTCAGTAATATGATTCACAAGTGGAATGAGGTTTAGATAGTCGTCAAGAAGAAATCCTAAGTTTTTAACTGATTCTTGCACTTGAATAACTTCGCCATTCAGAAAATATAACTTTTGATTTTGTAGGATTTAAACTGAGGTTATGACTTTTTGCGTAATCGTCAATAGCCTCTATGTCCTTATTTATTCGACGTGCTGCAACTATAATTTTGTCATTACTGAGATTGTTGTATAATTGAGAATCATCGGAAAAGAATTGTACACATCAATATTTCACCACTTTGTCCAGATCAGCTATGTAAAGCATAAAAGATAGTGGACCAAGCACTGTTTCTTGGGGCACTCCCGAGGATATTAAAGTTTCTGGTAATGAGTGCATATCAATAACAGTCGGTAGAGATGTTTCTTATGAAAATATTGATCATACCAGTTGGGTGTCAGAAAACCGTAATATTAAAATTTAGCTAATAAAGTTGAAACATTTATCGTGTTAAATGCTTGGGTAGAATCTAAGAGGATTAAATATGTCGACAAATTTTGATCTCAAGCCTTTACGATGTTATCTGTTGAGTCTAATAAAGCTCCTACAGTATTGTACCCTTTCCTGAATCTACATTGCTTAGATGGTTATATTTCAGAGCGTACAATGTGATAATGTATCTGTATATACATCACTTCCGCGAATAATTTTAATAATATGGGTAGGATGCTTATGGGTCTTAAATCAGAATCAAAAGTGGAGTTATTATTCTTAGTTACTGGTCTAACTACAACGCGTTTCCATAATTTGGGAAATACGTTATTTTCCAAACACTTTGTAATGTGTATAAAATATAAGTTGCAAACGGAGTTTCAACATCCTAAGAGATATTCCGTCAATCCCCAAAGCATTTGACTTTAGAGATTTGTCTTAAACAAAATAACTACCTTTATAACAGAAAATTCTATACCAAATATTTTGTAACCTGTAGGTTGTTTCGTCATCCCAAAATATGCTGAGCAGTTTGTAATTCGCATGTTTCAAATTTGAGAATGGAATACCTCAAAACTGAATGGTACCGATCTGCAGTTTCAATATTTTACCGGTTACACAGTATTCTTGGAGGTTCCAGATCCAGCGTTCTGGGCCCAAAAAATTAATTACAACTATAGACTCAGGAACAATCTTTATGCTTTATTCTCGCTTCATGATCAAATGTCGATATACACTGCGTTTCAGGACGCATTCTCCCCTATTTATTTTTTGAGTGAGTCCAGTTAGCGAGCTGAAGGCGACGCATACTATATTTTAACTAGAAAATGCACGAAGGTAAAAAAGTGAAATGTTACGTTCTCTTTTCGGAATGGCACACTTATGATATTTTTAAACTTTTAAAGTGGTAAACTGCCTTCTTAGTACATTTTTTTAATCCTTCAAATTCGGGACACTTAAAAACATCTAAGAAAATTGTGTTGTTTTCCCGCTTAAAGTTGAAAATATAGGACAATGTGAATTCAAAAAAACAGTTACCAGTTGACGAGGCAAAATGGCGTGCCTTTCGTTATTTTCTGTGGGCCGCCAGATTCTCCAAAAATATGAAAGTCACACTAAAGTGTTCATTTCTTGGAACGCTGCCTGATTGAAGACGGAGCATTTGAAATTTTTTTACTTGAACTAACTCGGTTTTCCTAAATGTTGTGTATGATTCGGGCAGATCTTTAGCTAAGAGTAAATTCTTAGTTGAACACTGCATAATACATTCTTCTGCGACTGTCTGAAACGCTATATATTTGTATGGAAACTCACGAACCTTTGTATATTTTTTAATGTTTAACAAGTATTACCAAAAACTGTCAAATTGACGACGTAAGTATTATCGACTTCTTGGTGTGCAGTTCCATCATGACTACGAACTAAGATATGGTAAATTAAAACAAATCGCATGCTTCCTTGCCTGTACTATGTGGTGGTATTTTTTTTGTGATAGTTTTAGCACGGTTTCCGAAATTTTCAGCATTTAACTTTCCGGATAGAAAACAGGCGGGCAATATCTTAATTTCATGCATTAATAATATTTTTTGTTTGTTTCAACACACTCGCAATTAAATATTTCTTCCCACAGCATTATTTTGTCATAAGAAGCCCAAATCGAAATTAGTTCAAGGCCTAAATCATAATGAAAACCCATTATCTCGTCAATGAGTGAATGAATGAATAAAAGAAATTGGAGGCATACCGAGGAGCCGGCGCACAGGCTACATGACGGGTCCTTAGGCATCATTACATTCTCTAAGCCTCAAGATCCGCACCTCTATCAAAGTTAAACATACCCCAGAATACCAGCTCCTTAGCATTCTGGGGATCCAAGGTGTTGGACCCCAGTATAGGCTACCTGTAACTCATAGCCTCGCAGCGACACAGATCATGTCAACCACCCCCATCACATGGAGGTGGCGCCTCATCGTGACAACAATCCCACCAACAACCTACGTTAGCTCTATCCAAGGATACACAAAATCTTCTGTACGCTTATAACAGCAGATGCCTCGCTGCTGAACAAAACACATTTAGGGCCGTATCGTCAGTCATTCCTTTAATTATTGTAGGAGGCCTTTATGGCCTGCTTGTTTTTGATAGCCTTTTCTCTCCTTCAGAAAGACTGGGGTATTTCTAGATTTCTACTGTTCCATGTCAGCCTCAGCGCTCTCCTATTGCGAAGTTATGTTTTCAGGCTGATAAAACAGATGATATAAATCAAAAGCATGAACAATTTGTTGCAAACAGATATTCGTGACATAACCTCAAAATAGAGCGCTGACACGGAATAGTAGGAAACTATGAAACTCAAGGTCATAAAGGCGTCCTACAATTGTGAAGATTGTTATTCTTCTCCTAGGCCCTTCCTCCTGCAGACTGCGGGATAAGCAATCCAGAATCGCGTAGACTTCCGCCTGGAAAATAGTAGTGTATCGACCTAGAGCCAGTAAGGCATTAATTCTAGGTGCAAAAACCCCGGCGTCAAGGTCATCTTCAGTAACCGAACCATCCGTGTACCAGACTTGCCCAATTTCTTCAGAGACCTTCCAGAATCCCATTCCACCCTCGTCGGCCATTCCACATTAAACTCGCGGTTAAAGCTGTACATACTGCTATACAGAAACACGGCATCCTCCCTTTGAAGTTCGAGTGAGAAGGCCGTGTGATCTTTGATAGGATTCACGAAGGTCCAGCGTCCCTGACGCCACAGTCGATGTGCAATCACTCTCTCCTCTCCGTGGATCACTAGATCCATTACCTCGTCCAATTTGACACCCTGTATTTTGAGAGCTCCAAGTATGACTATCTTGCTAATTTCTCCATCTTATGTAAAACAAATTGGCTATTCGTAATGCAGCATTTGAAATCCGTGGCTTTTTATTAACATATCTGCTTTTTACAGAATTTTATGAATCAGGATATTGGAAAACTGTTATCTAATTATTGCATTGTCATCGGTCCTTGTTACGTGTGCGAAGCTTCAAATTAATCAAACTTCTGGAAATTGGTGAAAATTATCCTCAAAGATTCCATTACATACATACAGGCCAAGCTAATAAGGGCGTGTTAAAAATAATGCTGTGGTAAAAATCAATTTTGAGTGCTTAAAAACAAACTTAATCCAAAAGGTTAATGTTTATAAAAATGATTGGAGAATAGCGCTCTGGAGACCAATGAAAAAATTAAACTCTGAACATCTCGAAAACTGTATCACTTCTGTTGACACAAAGCTTTTCCACGCAGTAGCTCATGACGTGACCTTTTTGCAGTTACATCACCACCTGCATTTCACTATTTACATTATTTCCAGAATTTCTGGCTGAAGCTCTCTACTTCAGTGTAGATCCATCCATGAAAGCCACTGCCGATAAGTTAAAAGTTGGTTCTGTGATGCCGGGTCTACAAGTAGCTAAGTATGTGTATCTTTACCTTAATGTGTAGAGAAATGAGAATATTTTTAAAACCGATCAATGATCTAAATTGGGTCACCTTGGATGATTGCGAGATAACAGTTAAACAATTTTTTTGGAAGTTTTTTCCAGAAGCAATATTCCAGTAATCCCCCATGTTGGTTTTTTCTTTCATTTACACATTCCTATACAGTGTCTTCCTACATTAGTCTACACGGCGCAAAACGAGTAAAGTCCAGCAGCGCCTGGGGTAGCAACTCTCGTTCATAAAAGGACGTCCAGCGCTCCAAGGCGAGCATGAACTGTCGTTTTTTTTATGAAGTATTAGACACGCCAAAAACCTTCCGAAAACGCATAAACCGACCCAGAACTGTTGTCCGGTAAATTGTTATGCAGTTATCGACTATAAGTGCTGTACACGCATTGTTCATGGATTTGAAATGCGAAAAATAGTACTTCGGCATCTAAAGGTAACATGTTGTTGGTCTTGTGAGGGAATAATATAAGACATCGGGTTGGCCTTAAAATCTGCGAATAACATGCCACAAGAAAAAAAATTGAATGAGAAAAACTCATGGTCCACTTGCTAGGTTGGAGAATATTAATTAGTCTTGTTTCTCAGACTCGCAAGATAAACAACATGTTCACCCTAAATGTTAAAGTACTATTTCTCGCACACACATGCAGCATTTGTTCTCGAAGAACCTCAGCGAGCATCTCGACGAGAACTTCTTTGGGTTCACATTCGTAAGGTTCTAAATACAGTTCTCGTGCCCGATGATGATGGACGCAGAATTAAATGTTGTCGACACCAGCACCAGATTTTTCCGATTTCTTGACTTTATTTTTATATCCTCTGAAGCAGGCTAATAACGATTTGTTTTTTGCTTTTTAATTCTCCAATGGGTAATTCCAGCAAGGTACAAACACGTTTCCACTCATCGTGGGCTTTGAGTTTATTTTTATATTCTTTTAAATTTGTGTTCTACAAAATCTGTTCTGCTTGAAAATATTCTAGGGATGCCAATTCTAGTTCGTTCCTCCAAATCCGGCTCATATTGCACAACTGTTCTAGTCGGCGAGTCACCGGCCACTGAGAAACATGCGAGTGTGGAGTCAATACAAGTTCTCGCCTGTTCTAGCGTACTCAGCTCTTTTGTCTCGCGCCCAAAAAACGACAAAAATCGGAGAACAACCTTTTAAGGCTATAAAAGCCTCTCCACGCGAGAAAGCGAGAAAAACATGATAAATGAGAATGTGCAACCGATTTTTATAATCTTCGCAACGTGTCTGGCATAGTGCAAGAACGACAGGTTCTCATGGAAAGTTGGACATCCTTTTGGAAATAAGCAAATAATCCTGGGCTCTGCTGGATCTGCACGGTACCATCTTAAAACTGCAATAATGGCTTGGACCAATCTCAGCGCATTATAGGGCCGTTCAGTCTATTGTAGCAACACACTGTATAGGCATGTGTGTGAATTAAAGGAAAGAAATAACGAAGTGCCGCCTCGAGGACGGATAAACAAATAACACTGTCAAAATTGTCAATTGTTCTTGAAAAAGGTTACCGTTGGTCAGACAAACATGGGGGTTATCAACGAGAAAACTACAAGACATGTTTCAGATATTACCTCAAGCAATACTCCGTACCTTCAAGGACGGGTATATAGGGTGAAAAACAGCGGCAATATTTCTAGGACATTTAGTAGATAAACGTATAACACAAAAGGTGGCCGTGAATATGAGCGATAAAATTTCCTCTTAGCTTCATACAGTGTGTTGAAGTTATAATTTCTAATCGCAGCAAAACGGTACATTCAGTTTTCATTTATTCATTTTATTCATATATTTCTCAACAGATACAAGATCCAATTACAGAGAAACTCTATACAAGTGTTGAAAAGCAAATAGACACTCATACAAAAAATAAGATCATGGATTGATGATACTAAAAAAAAACCGATGTGTGTGTATCAGAAATCCAACACAAAGCCCCATTAGTGCAGTAGTAACACATGCAAATTAATATATTTCTGAACGTTAATTCTACTCCTAAAATAGATAAAGAATAAGATTAAAAGGCACTGGAAAGCCGAAAATAGTTTGTCACTGTACGGTTTTTAAATATGACAATATTTTTCTTTTATACAGGGTGACTTTGAAGTTGAGTCATTAATTTTCAGATAATGATTGTAGAAGGAAGATAAACCAAAATATGTGTGTAAAAATAAAAAAAAAAAATAAAAAAAAATTTTTACCTTGTTTTATAAAGTATCCTCCCGACAAGTATTTCAGTGCGGACCTGTATTTGATCGTGAGGTCCCCTGTGAGGTCTTAAGTCACCTGATTCACAAGCCCGTTGTACTACATTAACAAAGGCACGAGGGGTTGGTTGCACTCGATTGGGAAACCGATCCGCATAAACATGTGCCATTTTTTATTTCGTTTGAGCCACGCAACACATACCACTATTCACTGACACTAACTGTATACAAATGAATGAGATACCTGTAAAAACATCGTTCCAAATTCTTTCGCTTTTTTGTTTCCGATGCGATGAACCGATACGGCGGATTATATCCATTGTCGCCAAACACGACCACATAATATTGTTATTGAGACAGGGCGGTACTCAAACTTCCAAAGGGCTATAACTTTGTTACTTTAATTTTACCAGGAAAATGGTAAAGGAAAAAAACATTTCTTTTGATCAGATCTACTCACTGTTAAAATAAATGACTCAACTTCGAAGTCACCCTGTATATATGTTCGCTCATATCAGAGTCAAAGAGATGACTAACCTCGTTCAACACTTTTTATGAAGGGGATGCTAGCATTGTATTTGTTGATGCTTTCGGAAGATAAAACATGGTGTAGTTCCTACTATTCAACCTAGGCACAGTAAAGTTTAAGTTCAACAAAATTTCACTACAGTCAATCTGACCTGTGCACAAAGCAGCAGCTTAACAAAAATCTTCTCTGTTCAAGACTGACCATGCCAAAGTGATCTAAAAGGTTCTTCTTTGGATGATGAATTGAGGATGTGCACCATATGCTTTTAAATACAGATATTTTAAAAATTTTGTTTGGTTCTTCTCAAGATATATACTCGTATGTAACATATAAAGGAGACCGGATGATACAACCATATTCAAGTAAGCTCCTAACTAAAGTGAAATACAGTATTTTTAATGATTCTATGTTAGTAAAAGATCTCCAATTTCTAATAATGAATCCAAGCATACGTGAAGCTGGTTTGTCTATTTGATTCAAGTGAGTTGAAAATGACAGATCCGCAGTAATAGTAATTCCTAGGTCTTTTGCTTCCTGTACTCGGTTAAGTTTGTGATTGTCCAGCATATAATCATATGGTATGTTATACTGTTTTCTGGTAATGGACATTACTTTACACTTGCTGGGATTAAGCATTAAATCATTATTCTGGCATCAGTCAAGAATGTTGTCTAAGTTTTCCTGCAAAATGTCTAAGCTCTCTTGGCCGTAAATGTTTAAGTCATTCGCAAACATTAGGTTTTTTACTGTTATTATATGGTTGATATCATTAACAAAAACTAAAAATAGTGGGGGGCCCAAGTTAGTACCTTGTGGTACTCCCGTAGTTGGTGTGTATGATTCCGATTTAAAGGCATTATACTGCAACAGATTGAATGCGTTCAGATAAATAGGAACGGAAAAACATCAACAAGCCGTCAGAAAACTCACATACATTTGTTTAAGCAAAGTGGAGTGGTTTATTCGGTCAAATGCCTTTGAGAAATCCGTGAATATAACGTCGACCTGTTGTTGTTGATCTACAGCAAACGACAGATAATTCATGAGGCAGCATAAGTTAGTTGTTGTCGATCTTTTGTTCCTAAATCCATGTTGTTTTTCGGATAAGATGTTACTTATACTAGGATATATATGTATATTCATAAAGCAGCATCTCAGTTCATGAACCATTATTTAATGTCTGAAAAACCCTAAGACTGCTCAACTCGGTTAAAAAAAAATATTTTTGAGGTTGCCAAATATCTAAATACAAGCTAGAACCCCGGAGTGTATTTTAAGATCTACTTTAAAGTGATTTTCAGGCTAGTTGTTAGGCCAAAATTGACTCATTGGTTAAGAGCTAATGTTCAAACATGTATCTGGATAACTGCTCCTAGAACGCAATTGGTACCAATTAATTGGATTAATTGGATCAATTGGATATGAAGAGCATAAGGGTTGTGATCATTTTCAGTAAAAAATTGTAGAGGTCAAAAGTCGGTGGTTGTGGGATGGAGGGGGGAGGGTGGTCAAGTGAATATTTTTTGATCTCAGTATATTTATATGCTCATATATACTGATGTTACAACATTTATCTGGAAAATGCTCATAGACCGTATTTGGAACCAATTAATTGGATTAATTGGATATGAAGAGCATCATGCTAATTTAATTCCGCGTCAAATGACACATTCTTCTTTACCAGATCCGTTAGTCCACCCCGGAACCCAATTGTAAAACTATGTAATGTAGTTGTAAAAACTTACACTTGGTTTGTATTTCATTGTGCTAGTGTGTAAATAATGAGTGTCAGAATGAAAAATAGTTAACGTCCCAGTTCTTTCAATGTATTTCTATTGACATCCTTTTTTATTTTTTATTAATAACAAGTATTGGTTTTAACAAAAATGTCTGTTTTGCTGCTTTACTTAGCAATCTATTGTCCACTTAATTATAAAAGTTATAAATCGATTAAAATAACCACATTGCCTGTACTTCAAAAGCTTCCTTTGTGCTAGGGTTAAAAGAAAATGAATCAAAAAGTTAGTCGACAAGACCTGGATTATTGTTAATTGACTTTTCTGACTTGATTTACTTTCATGAAGTGCGTTTCGAAACATTTTGCAAACTCAATTCCGTCCAGCGCCTGCATATGTACAATCTGCCAATTTTGGCATAACAAGCTAGCTTAAAATTGCATTAAAATGAATTAATCTTAAAATATTCCTCGATGGTCTTGTAGAGGGAGGTTTTAGCTTCAATTTAGATACTTGGCAACCTAGTTGGCAACATAATGGTTTTTTACCGAGTTTTTATTTTATTGAAGATGAACCTTTTTATGGTTTTTCGACTTATAGTTCGGAAACGGCTAATTTTTGAGAAAAGTTGCTGAGGACCTTTCTTGTACAGAATGACCCGAGAAATCATAAAAAAATTGTCGAAGCAAAAAATTTTGTATTGCAATGTAATAAGAGGGCAGGGAATAAAAAAAATTAACCAACAGCAGTTGACAGGACAAGATCCAATTAGTATCTGTTCATAAAGTGCGACTCCGCGTAATTCGTCATTCGTTTTGCATATTAGAGTGGAGATTGGTTTAAGAGGACAAAATTCAACATTCAAAGTAACGCATTAGTTACTTTGTCAACGAACATTTTTGAAGAATCATTTTATTGCAATAAATTAACTGCAATATTTCGCTTTTCCATATCGTGGAGAAAGAAACAAATCGTGAACTCAAAATTGTCAGCAATTTGCATTTCAGAAATTGAAAATATGTAGATGTTTCCCGCTAAAGATTCTTCTTCCTGAAATGGTATCGGAAACACTATGTACCTTTTGAATACTTAAAGATCTTTGTAAGAAAATTATACTTTATTGAGTTTACACCACAACATTAATTATTTACGCGCAAGTGAGCAAAGTATCATTCTTTTAAGGTTTTAATTGAGATAAGTAGAACGATCCAAATATTTTGTTACTTGTTTTTCTTTATGAGGTCTATTATCATACCCACAAAAAAAGCCGCTCTCGAACAGGTGTGATATTTGAAAAATGTTTTTTTATTGTATGATATGAACTCAAGCCCTTACAGGGTTTCTAAGTCAGCGATGCTGCCAGTGCAGTATAAAATTCAAAAATTTTTTCGAAAAAGTAACGGGAAAAATAGAAATAGTAACAATTAGTGCAAAAAGGACAACGCACGCATACGCGTGCGTTCGCTCATCCACTAAACATGCAGAAACAAAAATCAACGGCACAAGGCGTATAAAGATTAAGTGGTATACTGCCATATCAAGAAAGACCCCCGTATCTCAACTTGAACAAGGCAGACTATACTGGGGTCCATTACTTTGGACCCTCAGGACGACAAGGAGCTCGGGCTCAGGACGATTCTCAACTTCGCTAAAAGGGCGAGACTTGTGATCTAAGGATTGTAGAGGTGCATAAGGGCCCGCTTAAGCGGCCTATGCACTGGTTCCTTATGGTGGCCGGAATGCCTCTAATTTCAAGATTCATTTATTCATTCATTCCTTGTTGAACCTATTTAGCCATCTGATCTCTTTTAGCATTAATGGGAACTGATTAAATACTAAAAGTATTTGAGCGAACAATATCAAACAAATACTAAGATACCAAATGACATGTATCTAAGTACAAGGTTCAAATATAATTTTAAAAAACTATCGTAGAATAAGATGAAAATGCGTATTTTGTATCATGTATCTGTATTGCAGATACTTGAATATTAAATAAGTTATTCAGTCTGATTGATGCCTTACAAATTGACAACTTTTTCCGTTATTTGTAGATGTGCCTTCTGCATTAGAAATATTGTCATTGTTTTTTAGTCACCCAGTAGAATGTTTTTTGGAGGCACGAAAATTTAGCTAATCGATCATCTTTTTAGAGTGCATGAGAGTAAAAACAAGGACTTCCCAGTTGGAGTCTACATTCACGGTTATTTTGGATGGAGAGAGTGGACAATCAATAATGGAAAGACAAAAGACAACCAAGCTCTGACATACGTCCTTCCAAGCTTCCTTAACTCCGAAAATCGCAGAGATGATACAGAATCGTTAAATGTTAACCATTTATGTGTCTCTCATGGGCTGGGAATGTTAGGAATTAGCGGGTAAGTGATTTTTACTTCCTGTATTACACGGTTCTCGGAAGATCGATGCCATCCTTCCAAGGGGTGATAATACACCACACTTGGAACAGATTGAACCATACATGCCTCAGTAAAAAGTCGAACCGTTTTTGAGTTACGCGCATTTTTGTGGATCCTAGAAAAAGTTCAAAATCATGCGATAAACTATAAATAAAGTTGGTTTACTGAATTTTCGATTTCGCAGTGCTCCACAGACTTTTACAACAGGTTTATGGGAAAAATTTGCTACTCTGTAATTTGAATCAATGAAAAAACTCCGTTTACTTCTACTCTTTCTCATGGTATGTCACACAAAGCGATACAACCATGAATGATAGTTCCCCGGCTTTTCCCCTCAATAACCCAAAATGTCAGGTGAAACAGAATTTCATCGAAACCACAAAATACTAGTACATTAAATCCACTTTTTGTGAAACAAAGCACCTGACAGAAACAAAATCATTGTTCCATTCGATAATAAAATGCAAATTGATCGATAACCTATCGATCGATAAACTATAATATCTGTACAGGGAGAACAAGGTAAGGTTTTTTGAATTGTAAGTTTTATTTGTTCTGTTACAAAACAATGTTGGGAGACGTACAATTATGGTATGACTTACTCGAACAGCTGTTCATGGCAACATCCACCGATTATCTGTGTCGTGACGTGACAGGTTAGAGAAGTACGATGCGCAATCGGTTCACTCAATTTAAAAATAGCCTCCGTATCAGTAAAATTTTACACGAGTAATAATAATTATAACAATAATAAGTATAATAATAATAGTCTTAGCCGGAAGAATGCAAAAAGCGGCCATCCTCGGTTCCATCCACTTGGGGCACACGATTTACGGACCAACTGGTGGCTTACCTGACGATGTGAGGAGTGGCTAGTAGGTAATGGAACAGCAGCTTGGTGCACAGGTTGCATGTTTCACTTTTATTTCCCTTTTATTTCATGGTTTAATAGCCACAGACAATGACAAATCAGAAGTCAAAAGGAAATGGAACCACATGCAAAGAACCCTTCCAAGCTATAAAAACGCTTACCTGTTAGAAATCATTCTAACTGATTTTTGGGACTGCTTAGTTTCAGTGATTTTTGAATACCCTTTTTTAAGTTAATAAATATCTCACAACCCATGTAACTTAAAGATTTCTGATATGCTGCAGTGCGATGTTGAGGGGGCATTAGATCTTTATATCGAGTTTGATAATCCTGTTTGAAGAGGCTCAATTTATTTTTTATATATAACCTCAACATTTTGAAGCTTATGATTTTCAGTATAAGTAAGTGAAAATTAATCATTTCATAATTTGGGAGAATTTGTATCCAATACTTTATTAATATTTTAAGTTGGTCATTTTTATATTTAGTTATTTCATGCGTGTTCACGAGTGGACCTTGGAACACAAAAGACCTTAACGTTTTCCTCATGCGACTAGGTAAATTTACGTACTTTTGTTTCTTGTATCGCAGTAATAGTTTCTATAATATCTTTGTCCTTATGTTGGTCTACTCTTATTGTACATGTATCCTAAGAATTTTTGTTTCCAAAAGTAGCAGTCCGCTAGAATGTATTAATAGTTTATTGTTTATAATAATAGCAATAATAATAATAAGTCGTCTTTATTCGATTCATAACATAATACGTCCAACACATAACCGTAGGATTGATATTAAGTGACTAACCTTTTGGGAATCGAATCATGATCTGTTCTTGTATGGCTTCTACCGTGGTTTTTTAAGTGTAGTTCATTTATGTTGAGCAATTATCCCATATGATCATTACATTATTATGGAAATTCAAAGATGCAGTAAGTGTTTTCACTTGAAAATTTAATCACTAATTCCTATGTTTGTGAAACCTTGTTCAATTCAGATAATTTTTACGGGGTGTTCCAGTTTCTTTGTCACTCGGTATGTTATCCACACACTATCACTGAAATAGAATTTATTTCCCTATTTACAAAATGGTTAAGAATAAAGACAAAAATTAATTCATTATTACATTGTATTACTCCACACTGAATAAGCATACAAAGCAACATGGAAATCTGTTCCACATGCAATTGCTTGGATTTTTTTCAACTATAGGTCGTAAAGAGTTAGGTTTTGAAGCCGAACAGAGCTCAATTGATGACGCGAGAAGGAGAAAATAAGTCTACTTATAATAATAATATTAATAATAATAATAATAATAATCATAACAGATTGATATGATTGTTGCCAATACAGAAACAACAATGACAAATTAAAGCAATACCACGAAAGAGCAACCTTGTGTGTGGCAAGAATCTAATTTTTTGTCACAAAAATGCATTGCAGCTAGAGCTAGCGCTAAAGTATGAAAAAGTGAAATTGAAAAAGAAGTTTAGAAATATCAAAACACAAAGAAATAGTACACTGACAAAGCATTGAGATGCATACATTAAATAAATATTGAAACTGGCCACTAATAAAAGTATGTCTATCGTAAATATAACAAAATCTAGTAAAAACAAAATTAATATAAAAAGAACACTACAAATATACGATAATTATCACACTCATACGGCCTGGTGACTACATCTGGCCTTTACATAGAGGCATGTACAAAGTTTTGCCATCTATATACTCACGGATTCTTGGATGGTTTTTATCCACAATGAAATTCTTTTTCTAAATAGTCCAATATTTTGTATACTTTTGTAAGCGACATGCATTTCATTATACATCTTGGGGCACAGATTAACCCAAGAGCATTGTAATAGTGTTTTTTCTGGCCTGGGTACTATTTGGTGCAGGGTCGCTTTCTGGCGGGTGTCATATTTATGGATCATTTCTTCATGATACGTTTTATTTTTAAAGTAATACACCATGGAATTATAGGTAGAAACCTGTTTTATGTCCATTATTCCGGTTTCGTCAGATGGAGTTTTCTTTCTGCTAAAAATAATCCTTAGTATATATGTTTGAGCAGTTTCTAAGTATGTTTAACATGAGAATGCCGCTCCTCCCCAACCAATTACTCCGTAGCAAAGATGTGACTGCACAAGTGTGTAGTATAAGACTCTCAAACAAAGCTAAGCACGTTTGTAAGGTACTTGAACTTTGGCATAAGGCATCTTACTTTCCTGGTTATATACTCAATTTGTACATCCCATCTTAGATTTTCATCTATATAAATTCCGAGGTATTTAACGCTGGTTTGACGTTTAATATATTTGCTGTTTTGACGTTAATTTCAGTGTACGGAGGCAAGTGATTCTTATAAGACGATATGACGATAAGATGATATTTTTTTAGGGTTGCTGCGTACGTTGGTATGTTGGAGGTATTGAAGCCTAAACCAAATGACGTGGTGGTAGTGTCATCAGCAGCGGGAGCTGTAGGACACATTGCGGTACAAATAGCGAAAAAAGTAGTGGGATGCAAAGTTATCGGAATCACCTCAGGAAAAAAGAAAGGAAGCTGGTGTCAGCATTATTTAGGCATGGATTATCACATCAACTACATGACACAAGATGTGAAGAGCGAATTGAGTGTTGTCGCTCCTGAAGGAGTCGACTGTTATTTTGATAATGTGAGTTAATGTCTTGAAGTGCAGTATTCCTAAAATTGTACAGGAGTATTCAAAAACAGATTATTATTTCTAAAACAGGAGGTCTTAAACGTTAGTGTGGAAAATATTGTTCTTTATTCTTATGTAGATGTCAAAATATTCAATTTTTTACGGTGCTGGTGAGTTTTATGGGATTTATATTTTTTCATGTATTGATTATGCTATCTGTACTACATGCACAATATGTATGTATGTTCATTCATTCCAGAAATATTTTTTTTGGATTTTGAAATCCTAACTCCGATACCCTATTTTCTTGTAAGGACCGGTTATTATTGGACGAACTTTCTGGCCTACTTCACTACGCCACTGAGGGAGGAAGTAAAACCCATGGCAATAATTTTTGCCGGTCCCTCGATCTGTTTGTCTGTCTCTCTGTCGATCTGTATGTCCGCTAATGCTTGGTCCGTCTATAGCTTGAGAAGTACCGCTCGCATTTTGATGGAAATTTCACACAAGGTTACTACAATGTCAGGGACGAAAAAGTTTTGAAAATCGGTCTAGTCATGACGGAGAAAGAAACCAAAAACAAAAAACGCCCCAACTTCTTTTTAGACGTTTGAGGGTGTCGTGATCATTTTCAGATTGAAATTCTATAAAATCTTTGATTTTTGCTACATTTTTGATTGGTGTTTAAATATTTTTAGGATTGTATTTTTATGCCTCTTGTTAGACGATTTAGTAGAGAGAGTTCATACTCCCCTTACACTTATCCACGTTCAAGTTCTAGTTCTAGTGATCCTCCTCTTGACTCAAATATTTCAAATTCTGAAACCACAATGGCACAACCGAATGGTAATGAACGTTACAGAATGCTTGAACTACGATTCAGGAGTCTTAAAGACTCTCTGCCAAAATTTTCTCCTAACCAAAATAATTTGTCTAGCTTTATACGTGAAAATGAGTTGTTCATTCCAAAATTTCAAAACACAGAATTCGAAGAGCCTGCTGTCGAATTGGTCATGTTAAATATTCGAGACCAAGCTCTCGAAAAGGTCAGAAATCACGGTGCCACTTCATGGGTCGAAGCTCGTGATGTTCTTATTCGAAATTATAAAAATACTAAAAATGAAACAGTCTTGTCAAATGAAATGACTATGTTAAAGCGAAGTAACACCGACACTTACCGTCAATTTTATGAACGAGTTCTAGATAAATTAAGAGAAATGAATGAATGCGTAAGCCTTGCTCATTCAGAACAAGCAACTGAGGCATCATCAAGTAAGTCTACTAATTGCACATTTACAAAACATTTATAAAAAGGAACAATTATTACCATTTGATTCCATTCATTTATTCGAAATCTATGACCTCTCTCAAATGTCTATTATTTGTTTACAAGATGAAATTATATTTGTAATTACGTTTCCCATTTTAGATATTAAGGAATTTACATTGTATAAATTATTTGCGATTTCTATTCATCATGAACTTATTACTCTGCCAAGTGAGTATTTATTAACTTATGAAAAGAATTATTATTGTTCCGACATTATTAAACTTAGTAATCAACTGTATGTTTGTAAAAGTACTTTCCAGTCTCCCTGTCAACTACAGAGGTTCGAAATGTGTGAGTCTGAAAGCATAACAAACTACACGAGAATATTAGAATTGAATAAAAATAATTATATAATTGATACTAATCAACTAACAAAGATAAGAGACTGTAAAGGTACTTCTTTTATACATTATGCGACACATATTATTTTAGAATGTAATACTTTAATTAATCATAAAACTTTAGAATTTGATTCCACATTTCAGATTAAGTTAGACCTTGCTTATGCAGCAAAAAGTACGCAATATCAGTTTCAGAAAACAAATGTTTCACTGGAATCTTATTTACATCAAAACCTTACCTCTTTGCAAGTCAGCTTTCAGAATTTACATTATAGATCTACTGTAAATTATCCTAAGATTTTATTCTGTATTCTTATATTTTTAATCATTTTTATTATTGTATTTGTAAAATATCGTTATGTAAAGGACACCAAAGTTCCACCCACAACTCCAATTTCTAAACCCGCTGAGGAAATACCTTTAGCTTAATTTTGTCTGATTCGAGACGAATCTTTTTCACCGTGGGGAGGAGTTATGGTATCCTTAAAGCATTAACACCATCTAAGTCCCTACGAGTATAACACCGTCCCATACTCGTGAGACAGGATGTGATGTCTGCATTTTTACCCGAGACTACTGATTTCTGGAAAATTCGTAATTGTAATCTTATAATATAAAAAGGGTCTTTCACCATTCTCTGTACTCATTTCGTTACTTGTTCTTCTTTTCTCAACTGTTGCTGATGTCTCAATAAAAGTAAATCTACAAAAGTTACTGAAGTATTTCTCTAACATCATTTGGCGATTATAAGAGAAACAGGAACGCGAGTGATAATTCCTCAGTGCAATCAATCACCCACGATCCACACGTATTTAATTTATATGATTATTCATCATAGATTTCCCCGTACGTTTGCTTTCAAAAATGAAAGGGACAACGATAACAGAGAGATAGTAACTAACAGTAGGGCAGGGAAAGAATGTCTATAGACTAATTGGAAGCGCCTGTTTGACTGACTTAATCCTTTTAATTTCTCTGCTGATAAAAGCATTGCGAAGGAAGTGCAGAGTCAACGTACTTAGTACCTCAAGAAAGTTATATCGGATTTTCATATTTTAGGTTGGTGGAGACATATCCAATGCAGTTATTGCAAATATGAACCAATACGGAAAAGTAGCAATGTGCGGCTTAACCTCCGAGTACTGCGGCGGCAAACGAGGTAAGATACAGGATTAATCAGAAGTAGGTACAAACGCCTCAAAATTATGTCAACAGATTTTCTACCAAATATATCTGACTTATCAAGAGAGCAAATCTTATTTAAAAATGGTATTTAGAAATTTCCGCAACGTCACTGGCATAGAAGATAATAGGTAATATTTCATCTTATTTATTAAGTACCAAGTAAAATTATATTTATCTTGAATTCAAAGTATTTTATTTATCAATGACATCAAAAGGATGACATATATATATACAGGGTGTTTCAGTTTATTGTTGCATAACTTTAAGATTGGATAGAACTTTTAAAATTAATGCATAAAGTCTATATAAACATGGGTCGAAAAATGCGTGGCTTCCGAAATACAGGGTCTTTAAATTTACTTTCTAAAATAGTTTTTTTTTAATATTTCGAACAACATTTTATCTATAACAGTGAAAATTGGTATACAGGGTTTTTTGGTACGACAAAACGAACCATGGACATAGTTTTACTGTAGCCGCTAGAGGGCGCTCTCTACTGTACCTGTAGTGTATTAAAATGACCGAAAAAACTTTCTTAGTGGAATTTTTTGCTTTTTGAATAAAAAAACTGATTCTTTGCACTTTTCGATGCATTTTTTTACATTTTAGATTTGGGCATTACAAGGTATTAAGATTATCGTTTAGATTGTGTTTTTAAACACAGCAATAATTCCTAACTCCAAATAAACACAAAAAAATAGAATATTAACTTGTTTAATTTTCCAATATTATTTTTAACAAATTAAATTAATTATTTACAACTAAAATGCTATTGGATAGTTAGGACAAACATACAAAATCTAAAGTAGTTGCTCGAAATGTAAACCCAATTGTTCAATACACAATTCACATCTACGAATGATCGAACGTGGTATAGCATTATTCAAATAAGGCCTTATTTCATCACATGCATTTCTGATTCTGTCTATTAGCATATCTCTTGTGGTTACGGGAGTCTGGTACACTTTTTCTTTTAGAAATCCCCACACAAAGAAATCTAATGGATTTAGGTCAGGGGATCGTGGAGGCCAGGCGACTGTTTCGCCACGGCCGATCCATCTTTCTGGATAATTTCCGTCCAGCCAGTTTCTAACTATTCTCGAATAATGAGCTGGACAACCATCAAGCTGGAACCAGCCCAATCTTCTTAAATCTCACATAACATCATCCCACATATTTGCATGTTCAGCCTTTAAAAATTCCAAGAAGGTCGCATCAATTAACCTTGCAGGCAAAAAGGTAGGGTCCAAATAGTCGATTACGGTAGATACCAATCCACACGTTCACACTAAATTTATGCTGAAAATTTCTTTCCCGAACTGCATGCGGATTTTCATGCGACCAAATATGTTGATTATGAAAATTTACCACTCCACGTCTAGTGAAGCATGACTCGTCGGTCCATAAAACGTTACTTAAAAACTCCCTATTATTATCAGTTCTATCAAGAATCCACTGACAAAATGTGATTCTTCGTTCTCCGTCCCCTGGCTGTAGTCCTTGCACTGGTTGCAAATGGTAAGGACGTCTATGGTCATTTCTAAGAACACAGTGAACATGGCTTGCTGAAATTCCCAAGGCACCAGAAACTCTCCTAACACTTGTGGTCGGATCTCTATCAAACTCACGCAGAATCATACGGGTAAATCTGCGCTGACGAACATTCATGTTTTGATCCCTTTGGAGATTTCCAAAACCATTTTCAATTATTTGGCGATGCACTCTTACAAATACTGAGCGAGTTGGATGTTGTCTGTTTGGAAATCTTCGTGCTTATTCTCTGGCGGCTTCTGCTGCGTTTCCATTTACAAAGCCATACACAAAATGAATATCCCTTAATTCTTGATTGGAGAATAAAAATGGCATTTTTATAAAACTTACAAAAAAAACAGGTAAAGGAAACTAAATTTCGTGCAGTTACAATTGCAAAAAAACTTTCAGGTTTCAACAGACAACAAAACTAACTGTCAACTGATTGACGTTTAACCTTATTCTGCTATCAATTTCAAAAATATTTGCAGGCACAGCCTACTTCTAAAAATTGTCGAGATACTGACTTTTTAACGTTATTTTATCATGAATAGTTAAAAATGCATCGAACCCTAAAAATCAAAATATCTCAAAAACGGCTAACTATAACGAAAATTCACAAGAGAGCTTTTTTATGTTGAAAAGTGCGAAGAATCAGTTTTTTTATTCAAAAAGCAAAAAATTATACTAAGAAAAATTTTTCGGTCATTTCAATACACTACAGGTACAGTAGAGAGCGCCCGATAGCGGCTACAGTAAAACTATGTCCATGGTTCGTTTTGTCGTACCAAAAAACTCTTGTATACCAATTTTCACTGTTATACATCAAATATTGTTGGAAATATTTAAAAAAAACTATTATAATTTAGAAAGAAGCTCCAAGGCCCTGTATCTGATTTTCGCCAAAACTTTTGAGCTGTTTGATCAGGGTACTAGCTTTACCATAATTTGGGACTGTTTCTGTTGGTACTAGAACGTCACTGACATCAGAATCTTCGGAAAGTTCTTGTATATATTTCAATTTCATTTTCAATTTCTTGGCCTGAATCTGGATCTTCTACTTTCATCTGGGTTCAAAAAATCATAAATCTGCCTAAAACAGAAAATAATCGTAGAACCCAAAGGAAGAACTGGGCCACCAACAAACGCATATATGTTATAGAAGCTCTAGGAGTACATCTTGATGGCATAGCTTTGCGAGAAATCAGAGAACTACAGGGTGAATCTGAGCATACATGGGTTGATTCCTCAAAACAGAAAAAAACTTTTAGAACCCAAACGAAGAATTGTGCCACCAACAGACACATACATATTGTAGAGACCTCATGGGAGTACATCCGTATGGTATAGTTTTGCGAAAAATCAGAAAACTACAGGGGTGATGCTGCTTATACAAGTCTTCACTGCTTAAAACAGAAAAAAATCGCAGAACCCAAGCTAAGATTTGTGCCACCAACAAACTCAAACATGTCGTAGAGACCTGATACGATTACATCTTTATGGCATACTTTTGCGGGAAATCGGGGGACTACATGGTAAATCAGGGCATAAAAGGGTTGATTCACAAAACAGAAAAAATCGCAGAACACAAACGAAGAATTGTTCCACCAACACCGTGTAGTCCCCTGATTTTTCGCAAAGCTATGCCATTAAGATGTACTCCTCTACGAGGTTCTCACAACATATGAGTTTGTTGGTGTCACAGTTCTTCGCTTGGGTTCTACGATTTGTTTCTGTTTTAAGCAGTGAAGCCTTGTATGCGCAGAATCACCCAGTACTCCTCTGATTTTTCGCAAAGTTATGCCATTAAGATGTACTTCCAGAAGGTCTCTAGAATATATATGAGTTTGTTGGTGGCACCGTTCTCCGTTTGGGTTCTGCGATTTTTTTTCCTGTTTTGAGGAATCGACCACTAACAAATCAGATATGTATACGTACAAGAGAGACAGATGCGGAACATGTACTTAGCCTTGTGGTACTTCCAAGAAAATCGATCATTCAGGCAAAGGGTTAATAACGACACTTTAACACCTATTTATGAGAAAGATTCTTATCAATTTCAACGAGTTATTACAGAAACCATAATATTTCCATTTAGCTACCAAATGGTCAAATGATCGTAGTTTATGGTATAAAATGGCTTGGCGAAATCTAAAAAAACTAATGATGTCCATAATGCTTCAATGATACCTCAGAGGTACTATAGTATTTTCTAAAACCATATTGACCAGTAATATTACTACCTTCCAAAACAAAATCATTGATCTAGATATAAATACATTGCTTTTCCTAATAATTGTAACAGAAAATGTAAAATACTTATGGGTCTTAAATTTGTGTGTGTCATTGGATTGTAAGTTTTTTGTAAATGTAACACAAGAGATTTTTTCCACGAATTTAGAAACACCCTTTTCTAAACAGGTATTTTAGTGTATGTAGAACGACTTGCGTGCAACTTGTTCCAATGAACATGATGTTAAAACCTGCGAATCTAGTATTAAAAAATGCGTAAACTGTTCGGTATATAACGACTACATGCTGAGTCGTTCTAGAAACTATAAGCCTTCTCCTGTAGACCATGCATCATCAGATACCCAATGTCCATGCTTTTTAAGGAGACTAGCACAAATTAAATCCAGAATTGATTATGGCTAAATCAATAAAAAATATTTTAAAAATATGCCATTTAAATGTACGTTCTTTAACGGCTGACTTTAATGAATTCTCATCTCTTGTACGATGCAAGTTTGATATTGTAGCAGTCACTGAAACATGGCTCCATTCAAACATTGATAGCACTGCTGTCAGTATGCATGGGTATAGCTTCTTCCGTAAAGATCAGGGGAGTAGAGGGGGTGGCGTCGGTCTGTATGTTAAAGTCGGTTTTAATAGTAGCGTTATTCCAGTTGAGTTCTGTGATTTTGTAATTCCCCTGGAAATTTTATGCTGCAAATTTAAACTACTGGGAAAAAGTATGCTAATTGTTGTGGTATATCGGCCACCACATTGTTCTATATCTCAAGCTATCCAATCCTGAGAAAACTTGATCGCATTTTTCACACCCCAATATGATAGTATTGTATTTTTAGGAGATATGAACGTTGACTTGCTTGCGCATAATAATATCCTTAGCAGCTGTTTGATTCTTTCAATTTCTTTCAAGTCATTAATGAGCCTACACGAGTTACAGCTTTCAGCTCCACATTAATTGACGCCATTTTTGTGAGTGACAGTACTATAGTAAAGAAGTCTGGGACACTTAATGCAGACTCGATTAGTGATCACCGACTTGTTTTCTGCGAGATCTCTATTAGTAGTAATAAAATAGAGCCCAAATTTGTAGCATATCGGGATCTCAAAAGCATTGATATCCCTAGTTTTAAGACGCAGATCGCTTCATTGCAGCTTGACGATATATATTACGTAGATGATGTTGATACTAAAGTCTCTATTTTTACTAACCGTCTTATGCATCTTTTTGATATTTACGCACCACTACGTACAGTGCGAGTCACAAAGCCTGCTGCACCCTGGCTGACTCCTAATTTAAAAATAATATTTCAACTAAGAGATGATGCATTAGCAGTATTTCAGAATAACAGATCTGCACAAAACTGGGAATACTACAAGGATTTGAGAAACTTTGCTCTAGCATCTCTGAGAAGAGAAAAAAAAAGCATATATGTCTCGTTTCAGTAACTTGAACTCTAGTCAAGCGTGGAAAGAGCTAAGGAGAATGGATGTGGTTGCACAAAAGCGTGTTGCGATACCGCCAAGTTTACTTGATCCTAACGATTTAAATAACTACTTTCTTTCAATTTTCCAGGCAGCTGTAACTGATTCTAACTTGATTGATCGTGTTTCTAACAGCTACAGCAATAGGCGTTATATACCAAGGGCACCTCTATTCGTATTTAAACTGCTCACTCAGCAAGACATTCTTAACATAATTAGTAATATTAAGTCTACGGCCTGTGGTTCAGATGGTTTAAGTTTAAATATGGTTTGCTTATGTCTGCCCGAGATTATCGATTACATAACGCATGTTATTAATATCTGCCTTGAAAGTGGTTATTATCCAGCCAGCTGGAAAAATGCTATAATTATTCCACTAGCCAAAAACAATTGTCCAGAGCAACATTCTGATCTTAGACCAATCAGCCTGTTATGCTTTCTATCAAAAATACTAGAGAAAGCTGTCTACTCTCAACTTGTGGAGTTTTTTGAACAGAATAACTTATTTCCTCAATGTCAGTCGGGTTTCAGGTCTGGTCACAGCACGACCTCGTCGTTATTAAATCTCACTGACTCTATCATCTATAATTTGGATAAACACATCAACACCGTATTGATACTGCTAGATTTCTCGAAAGCCTTTGACATGGTCAATCACCAGATACTATTGAGTAAATTGTCTTACTATGGTATGTCAGATATAGTTGTAAAGTTCTTCGAGTCATACTTGCTTGATCGGCAACAAACTGTGAAAACTGAACAGGGCATGTCCACTACGAAGCCGGTTCCTTCAGGAGTTCCTCAGGGTTCTGTGCTTGGTCCCTTATTATATCTGATATACACTGCCGATTTGCAAGATTGTATAGTCCATTCAGCCATGCATACTTACGCGGATGATACTCAGTTGGTGTTTGCCTTTGATCCGTCAGAGGTTGACGAGGTTTCTTTCAAAATCAATTTGGACATGACTAACGTGAACGATTATTGCAAGAAACACTGTCTTAAAATAAATCCTAAGAAGACTACTGCTATGTTGTTTTGTTCGAAAAATTCCTATCCAGTTGTGAAGGAGAGAATTAATATTGTGTTGGATCAAACACTCATCCCTCTTGTTGACTATGCTAAAAACCTCGGAATAACTCTCGACAAAAACATGAGGTTTGATCATCACGTTTCATATTTGTCGAGAGCAACGTATATGCGCTTGAAACTTCTACATTCAAGTCGACATATTTTAAATTTTAAAACCCGTAAAAAGCTTTGCGAAACTCTTGTATTGTAAATTATATCTTATTCTCTTGTCCTCTATTATCCATGTTTAGATTATAATAACAAATGTAAGCTTCAGAAAATTCAAAACAGCTGCTGTAGGTTTATATTTGGTCTCCGTAGGTTCAGTCACGTTTCGAATAAAATCAGAGAACTCAACTGGCTGAAAATTGATAAACTATTTTTATATTTATTGAACGTCTTAACTCATAAAGTTCTGCTAACAAACAGACCGGCCTATCTTTTTAGCAAATTGATACCTCGTGGTAACTTCGTACCAAGGACTCTTAGATTTAATATTAATTTTAATATGCCGCTCCACAACACTTTTATCTTTGAAAGGAGTTATACCTATAATGCTGTTAAACATTACAATGCTCTTAACCATTCGCATCGATCCAAGCCAGTCTCTTCTTTTAAGAAATTAATGAAAAATCAGTTGCTGGAGACAAGTTAGTTCTCTGTGTTTATATATGTATATGATTGTCTTTTCCTGATTGTTTTGTGTATCTGTCGTTCATTTAATGAAACTATGTTGTTCTTAATTAGTTTTTTTGTAACATGTGTATGTATTTTTCTTTCTTTTTTCTCTGCTTTGGGGTTAAGTGGAGGAGTAGCCGTCTGGCTAAACTTCGCCTCACTGCAGATAATAAAGGCATTATTATTATTATTATTATTATTATATAACCGGAAATCATAATCATTCCTAAATAATTTGATTTTAATGAACGGAACAGTGAGGATAAGTTTTCATACCAGATGGGCTTGAAATTAAATACACGTTGAGAAGGATGATGTCTTTATAATGTTCATTTGAAAACTAACAAGACCTGGTATTTTTATTTAAAACAAACAAAAGTAATCGTTACAAAGTATAGGTAATAAGATTTGCTAAAATCATCAAGAAGTCGAAATTCGATTTGAAAACATAAATATGCTTTTGCTCCTAGCTACAATCAACCAATGGCAAATATTGAAGGAGCAACTGCTTGTAGAAGGCTTCTGCGTCTCAGGATTACGATGGAAGCACAAATGGATGAAACCTATTGAAGATTTGCACAAATGGTGGGCAAAAGGAAAATTGTGGACCTCAGAGAGTGTTCTATTAGGTTTCAGCCGTTGCCCAGAAGCCTTCATTAAACTATTTGAGCAAGGTAACATTGCAAAAACAGTTGTCTGCAGGTAATAAACAAATGCAGCGATGATTCAGTAAAAAATGGGTAGTCAGAGTGAGCCTTTAATGTGATATCAGTCGACAGCTCCTTGTTTTATAACACATCAAAATAAGTTGGAAAATTCATAATTACGTGGCAACACAGGCATACATCTTTTTTAATGGGACGTCATGTATATTTTAGTTTTTAAGTATATTCTGAGTGGCCCTTTCAGGGGTAGAAGATCGATATCATACTATTGGATCGCTACTTCTGGAGCTACATGATATTTGGACCGAGAAAGCCAACTGTTACCGATATCGTAGCAATCCTTTTCGTTCAAGTGATCTTCATATAGTATAGTTTCTCGCCATTTAGAGGTTTTTCAAGTTTGTTGCACCGTCTGTAAAAAAATAAACATGAAACACCCCGCTTATTTTTTTATGGTTATGGGTTATCCTTTTAATATTTTTTATTTTGTTATAAACTTCTGGGGAAGGGGGATGAAGTTAAATAATTAAATTCTTGAGTTGTTTACGGTTTTTAAAGTTACAACCCAAAAAAATATTAGCGCTGAGATCAGTTTTAGTGGATTAGGAAGCAATATTAGCTAAGGCTTCTACTTATTCACCAAAATTATTTATTGGTATGTACTATTATGAGCTGTAACTGTAATAAAATATTGAAGATCAGTGTTTTTTTTTTGATAAAGTATCCCGTAGCTCCAGAAGTAGTGATCTAAAGTCTACGTAAATTTTTTTCCTCTAAAGAGGCCTTTCAGAATATGTTAAACAGTATTCCATTAAAAAAAATGCAAGCTTGTGTTGTGCGGCATATTTTTCAAGTAAGGGGTGTTTTTTTGCCTCTACTTTTTTTGAATAGCTCTTCTAGACATCTTTTATATACACGAAGCTGTCAACCTATTACACTAAAAACTCACCCTGTATGAAGCAACATCGTCGATTTGGTATGGTGGCTGTTCGAATACAATCTTGAAGAAACGCTTTGGTACCTGCAAAACATTTTTCGTCATAAAAAATCAAGCATTGAATAACCACCTGTTGCTTCCGAAACATGCTTGCCCTACACAAAGCGTGCTACATCTACGGTGTGTACCTGTAAGTGTACTTCCTCGACAGGACAATGTCCCTCTGCAATCCAGTAACACGGTTGAATGGGGCCAAAAGCTCACCGACCCACCTGGAAAACGTATTAAACGTCAAGCTCATCGTAAAGTTACTATGGGCGTACTGCAGTGGTTCTGAAACTTTTATAGTCGCTGCACCCTATTTCAATATAATGTTTTTACGATTATACTTATATATACTATCTCTATATTCACTCATGAAAAAATGTATTCCAATTAATAAAATGTGTATATCTTAATTATTATGTTTTACTTTCTTACTGTCGAGTTTTTCTGCCTGAGAGTGTCTATAACAGCTTTCCTTTTAAAAGAAAATAAAGATTAGATGAAATAGCAGTTAACCTAGTTGGGTACACCTACAAATCAGTAATTCTTTTACTCCTGGTGTGAAGACAGTACAAAAAAAGCCAGAGGTAGGATATTTAACATTCATGATCTTTTGTAGATGAAAAATGATGGTTGATTGCCCCTGAGTCGCATATCACGGAATGAGGTGACTACTTAGATCTTTTGCGTTTATTATCAATTCTATTTGGTACTCGCGCAATCCTTGCTGTGCTGTAACTGAAGCCAAAATTGTTTAGCAAGGCAGGTACTGTAAAGTGAGTATGCTATGCTCCAAATACAAAGTATCTCCTGTTTTTTTCGTTGAGTCACACGTCCTTGGAGTGACCGCTAAGTAGGAAAAGACAATTAAAGGCAAACGGGTTGAGCACATAGGCCTGTGACAGGTTGTCCGTCATTGTATTAGTTAATGAAACGTAATTAGCTAACAAGTCAAATAAATTAATTAATTAGCTCAGGGTGAAATTCGCTAATTACCATGTCAGTCAGTACCATCACCAAGATCCACCAGAATTAGAGCGGACATTCTAAGCAGTCACTTTCTAAGAATTTAATGGAACCATGACTAGAAATGAAATTGAGAATTTGAGCGCCAAAGACCGGAAAACTCACGAGGTATATTCTAAAGAAACCCAAGCAGAGAGCTAACGGACGATCCACACGGATAGAGATGGTAATTCACTCAGTGGTGTCGCTCTTAAAAGGGACAAATATAGAATCTGTATAATCAGATCAAGTAAGGATTTTCTTCAACTTATTTGATGAGATTTTCTATAAAGCACCTACCAATTTGACAAGTGGTGGAGTTGGACAATCGTTAACGTTAAAGTGATAGCAAACTGAGATCTGATCCAAAAAAATCAAAAAAAAAACTATTTCCGCTGTAATTAGCTTGGTGTTTTGAAAGTCCGTAACAGTTGAATATTTTATTTATTACATCCAATTTGTCCTACTCATACCTGTGTGATCGGACAAGCATTAACGTTCTACGAGCGCTCTTTGTGCTTACTTTTATCTGCTCCTATGCGGCACTTCCCCCAGTCTCAGAATAAAGTTTCCGTTGGAAGGCAATAGATTTTATGGGTTTTTTCGGCAGCTTGACCACTCACAAAAGAGCTTGCATGATGTATACTGCCAAATATTTTCTTAGAAGATGCACATATATATCTTCATGTTACTATGCATCGTAATGGCTACCTATCGCAATTTTTTCGTTCACAAGAAGTAACGAGAGGTAAGCGTTGCCAGTTGTAATGAAAACAAACCATAAAATCAATTGTAAATGTGTGAAAATATCTATTTACATGTCTAGGGCGTTAAGTGGGAGTTTATGCCCCGCGACGTGAAACGGAAGCTCTAGGTATGAAGCTTCGCAGGCTTTGAAGGTGTACGCTTATTGAGGGGAAATGAACTCTTCCGCTGGGTTATCTTACACATAATCACTAGAGCACTCGAAAGGAAGTGACATTTCACGTTTGACACATATAAATGACCGCATCTTCTCAATGTACATGCAGTAGACTGCACGCTAAAGCACGCCAAGCTACTCGTACATAAACACTTTTAAGCCCGATGTAGGCGCTGAACCTTATCTGCGACTGCCTACAAGCTAAGTGAAAATGTAGTTTAGTCTTTAAGTAGACAAAAATAAATAAATTGAAACGGTTGCCTACAGCAATAAATGGATATGAACAGCTCTCGTTGTTGGTGAATATAATTTAATTTAAAGACGGCGGGCGCTAAAGATATTTTACCGTTCTAATACTTTTAGTATCGTTCGGTTGTATGGTACACATGTTTCAGAGCTATTTTCATACATTGCTGTCGGATTGCCGAATAATTGGAATCCTTATTAAACGTAATGCAAGTAATTTAAGCTGCCCCAACGCATATAATTTCGTCACCCTTTCTTTTCCGTTAATGCTGTAATACTTCTGATGAAAAATTTTGTACAAGTGTATGCGTCTACAAATTGCAGACAATATTTCCAAGATGTAGCCGAAATATAACTGACAAAGCCGAGATATATATTAAAGCCATATGCTGAAATATGACTCGGCCATAGTTATTTGTTGCGTTCGTTTTACACATAAACTCAGTTTAATTAAGGTGACATTTCATTTAACCCAACAGGTCGTCTTCACCTGATTGAGATATGTCCTCTCTAGCAGTTTTCAGGTTAAATTTATTTTATTCATTTTTCAAATGCACGAATTGAAATTGTTAGATGCTTAACTTTGATAAATTGAAGAAATGCTATATTTTGCATTGCCATGATCTGATCCAGGTTAGCTTAGATCAGATCGGTTCAAGATGAAAAATTTACATGGGGCTGGCTAAAATCCAATAATCGTTCCTCTAGATAAGAATGTGCTGTGCTGTACAGCGGGCTCGGCAAAATGGTAAGAGGTAGCCTAGTCACCAGGCTCACCTGACCACCACGACTATTACTACAGGCCACACATAAACCAACCTATACCCTGTTCCCCTTGTCATGGAAGGTATTTTTAGAAAGGTGCCTTCTAAGTTGATTTCATGAAATAAGTTTCATTTCCTCCCACCAAAAATGCTGTTTGACCAGTTTGAACGACTATCCAGGACATAGTTTTTTATTAGATTTTGATGGATGCTAGATGACGCTAAACAATTATCACCAATATATAGATATTTCCTAATGCGTCATTAGTCTGTTATTGCCCTTCACTTCCCATGCCACTGGCACACGTGTGCCCGCAGTTTTTTTTTCAAAGGGGTCAGTTAGACGCTGGGAGGAGGAAAGTTTTTCTGTATTTCGATATGTATCAGCTCCTAAAATGCTTGAAGAGCTGGGATAGCAAATTTCCCCAGAGGGAGCCAAATCTTGAAAATCCAGTACTCATAGCGTACCACTTCATCATCTTCAAACACAAAAAGAGGAATAAAACAGGCTATACCTTAAAATTTACTTTGTTGCAATAATGCATCATAGCTTCCTAGCACTGACGACTAACTAAACAAAGCACATTTTTCATCTTTCTTTCGTTCTTTTTACAAAAAATCTTTAGGACAATTTTGAAATCCAAATCTGACAAAAACACTGAAATTACAGGTAATTATTAGAAGTAGCATTTTAGTTTCAAAATGGATACTCCTTTTTCAGCCTTAAAGTGAGCCAGACATCCACTGGTTTGACGGCCTCTCATCTCTGTTTGGACGAGGTAACTACTGCTCGTTCAGATGCTCAAATTCGCATAAAGAAGACAGTAAACTTAAAAGTAAGACTTAATGTCGGCATAAGCTATTTATATAGTACACTATACATTCTTAGATATAGCTTAAAGTCCACGGTGCTCCGGGGTGCACAGTTTAGGGACCACTGGTGTAGTGTGTATCCCGCTTTCGGTGAAATTCTATAGGCAGGAACATAGCGCGTCGGACGGGGTTCATTCAAGGAGAAATGAATGAAGCTCAGCAGGTAACCGGCAATAATATGGCCTAATATGGCCGTTTCCGGTCAATTTTCTAAAGTTTACTCGGCTGCATTCAAGGCTAAATGGATATTGGGGGAATACCTGTTTTTAGTACGCCGCGAGGGTAAGCGATACAGGCAGGGTAGATGACAGAGACGACTCGTTTGTTATTGACTTCTGTGCATAAGAATCGTCCCACGTATCCCGTAAAAAAAGACACTTTCTATATTGAATACTTCAATAAGTTATTATTTAATATTCACGTTAATGAACTATATTTACTAGAACATCGAGGAAAAATTATAAGTTTTGTTGACGTCACGGCTATAACATACAGTTCTCAAACCTGGGAAAACCTAAAAACACTAACAGAAACAGAATTTTGCAAGATTACCAAATTATTCAACTCTAGACTTTTAACCGTAAATTACGACAAAACTTGTTACATCCCATTTTCATCCTGTGAACGATATATGCCCAAATATTCAAATTTAAACATACAACTGAAGAACAACCAAAATGAACAATTACAACGAACTTCTTCGCGCAGTGTTAAATATCTGGGAGTGTATCTAGATTCTACCCTTAAATGACCTTTAATAATGTGTGGATGCACCCTGATGTACTACGCATTCTCCAACGCGCCTAGGCATGCTTCTGATCAGGTGGTCAATGTCCTCCTGTGGTATCTCATTCCAGGCAACCACCAACTCCTCTCGAAGTGCTTCTAGAGTCTGAGGAGGACGATGCAAATTGAGCAATCTCCTACCCATCATATCCCACACGTGCTCAATTGGGGATAAGTCGGGAGATCTTGGTGGCCATGGTAACAATGTGACATCATTATGTTGAAAGAAGTCTATTGTGACTCTTGCAACATGTGGTCGGGCATTATCTTGTTGGAAAGTTGGATCTGCTAGGGTGTCAAGATAGGGTAAAAGATGGGGGGGTTCTAGAACTTCGTGGATATAACGCTGCGCGTTCATGTTACCTCTGATGAAGATTAAAGGTGACCTGGAACCATAAGCTATAGCACCCCAACCCAAACCAGAACTCCAACAGTGTGATGAACATGTCTTTCAGCAAAAAACTGTGGATTCCTCCTTTCACCACGTCGCCTTCTAACCCTGGCACGACCATCGTGCATGCCTAAACAAAATCGAGACTCGTCACTAAAGACAATACTGTTCCATTCCTGATCCCAGAGTGACCGTTGTCTGCACCACTCAAGGCGATTACGTCGGTGTTCTCGAGTTAAAGGGAGGACCCAGTGTGGCCGGTATGAAAACAAGCCAAAACTTCTCATTCGTCGGTAAACACTTCGCATGCCAATAGGTCTTCCGTGTTCTGCAAACCATTCATTTGCAATGGACCTGGTAGTGGAGAAACGGTCCCTTAAGGCCAATAATCTTAGGCGGCGATCTTCACGGTCTGTTGTTCTACGGCGGCGTCCAGTGCCCCTTGATCTTTGCGTACGGCCTTCTCGAAGCCATGCCTGACAACACCTAACCACAGTGTCTACACTTCTTTGCACTCTAACTGCAATTGCCCGAAAAGAAAGTCCAGCTTCCCGAAGTCCCACTATACGGCCCCTATCAAACTCACTAAGTTGACGAAATCGTACAGATTTCCGTACTCTAGGCATCGTAACCGATCGTAAAGGATGTCAAGAACCAAAATCCGCCAACGTTGATTCTTTACTGCGGCTGAAATATTCATTTTTAGAGCGTTAGTGAATTAAAAAAAAGCAGTATAAAAACCGGAATGTCCAACTGATACGGCTGAAAATGTTTTCACTTGTTATTTACAGTAAGATAAATACATTCAACAACTTTTATTAAAATGAAACCATTTAAACTGGGTGTTCGGATTTATATGTCACTTAGTATATTTCATACTAGGTTATGACGGCACTATCGGTGATACAAGAGTACGGTCAATTTTTAATTTTTGACATTTTGTGTATGTAACAACGGCCGTCATAAGCCTTTAAGGCGTTTACGTTTTAGAGCCCACTACGCTCGCAGCTTAGGCCCTAGATACAAAATTAATTAGGTCTAAAACGATATGTAGGTACTAAAATACAATGATGTTTGAGAAGTCTTCCATATTTTCTGTAGTCTAATAACGCTGCACTCAGTTGCATTGATTTTCAAAAAAGGCAGCTTTACTTATTTTGATCACACATTATTTATAATATGTGACTAATTAATGACAACTCTGTGATGTATAATGCGTAGGGTAAAATTAAAATTCTGAAAATTGCGACGGTGATTGATAATTTATTTTGCTCTATATGATCTCCGCCTTAACTAGCGTCCCCGATAGCACGAAATATTTGTGAAATATGTATTCAGTATCTAATATTTTTATCTTACTCAAAATATATTTGTTATCTTAAACAAATATTTAATAAATATATCAAATATTTACTTCCCAGTCAATGGACAATATTAAAACTCCATTATTTAGAAAATATTCATTAAATATTTTCGGCTACGGCGCACGTGCTTGTGTACCCGAGCGACCAATGGCATAATGGCAAACCGACCTGAGCCGACCTGCTTGCCGGTATCCATTTTGCCTGTGACTTTCACTATGACAGCATGCTTCCTGTGTACCTCCAAGTGGTACATTGTTTGGGTGATTTTTGTGAAAAAGGGTAAGATATGTAGCTTAATTTATCTGACTAGTAAATATTATTGTGTCAGTTGAGCTTAAAAGTATTGACAGGACCATAACTAACTAGCCTTGAAGTGTAACAGGTATTTGCGATTTGGGATTGGTGGATTTATCTGAAAATTGATACGAAAGTTATTTTAATAAGATCCCAATGAAAAGGCATATAATCACAATTTGGTCTAGGTACATCAAAAATGCTTTTTATATATATATATATATATATATATTATATATCAATTATTATTATTATTTTTGTCGTAGTAGGGGGCAAATCAGCTATAACTATTTTAAAATTTGTATGTTCATCAGCGACGTTTCAAAATTGTAACAGTAGAAAATACTATATGTTTGTCCCTCGAATTATAATATGAAACCATAAAATAGTTATGGCTAAATTAGCCCCCTTACTACTGCAAACAGTCACATTTCAATAAAGTGGCGTATTTTAAAACCTTTTCTTTGAAAATTAGTCAAATGATCAAGTTCTGCTCATGAACATTTTTGATCAAGATATCTAAAATAACATACCAAATTTTCTTAAAAATTAACCAAGTCTCGAACTCTCATAGGAAGAAAATGTGGGGTCCTTTTCAGTGCATTATGCTCGGTTACTCGAAGTGACTCAGCAGTGCTCAGCACCAATATTGTTCCACTGAATTTTATATTCCCATAAATACACTTTCTAGAGTAGCTTGGGAGAATAACTCTGTCAAACAAAAGACCACTGGAAAGCAGCAAGCAGCTTATGTATTAGGATGTTTTTTTAATGATACTTTTCTAGCAAATTAAGCCATTATATATAGAATGGATTTTAATTATAAACCCAATTTTATAAGAGTATTCGTACAGACTATAATAACTAATAAAGAATTTTCTATCTACACTGAAAATATGTATCAGATTAGTGCTTGAAAATCTGTTGCTCCATATATTAACGAAAAATATTAGATATTTCATCAAAATATAAAATTGATATTTAAAAATGTTTCCTAATATATTTTCTAAATATTTGGAAGAAAATATCGCAAAAACGTATGAAATATATATACTACAAATATCTATAATGAATAAATATTTTATGAATATATAAGAAACATATTTATTAAATATTAAAAAATCCGTTGCTACAAATATTTAACAAAAATATTTAATAAATACTTAATGCCTTCGGCGGTAATATGCAAATTGAGCGCATTCAGGAAAAACGGAGTTGTAGCGTTTCATGTCAGGGATCGTTTATATCAAATGAATACTGAGATTCAACGCTTCACCTAGGTCAGTAGCTTCCTGAAGGAGCTCTTTGAGCTCCCGTCTGATATAAAGTTAATTTGCATGTCCTTACATAGTACTGATTTTCAAGCTGACGCACGTTTCACAGCTTGTCAGTTTTCAAGAGGAAGCCGCTATGGGACACTTACCCCTACTGTAAAAGAATTAAGGATCCGCCTGTGTCTGAATTGCGTCCTGAGCGTAATTGCCTTTATCATTTCGTAGAATTGCCTAAATAACGCCGGAAGTTGGTAGGGATCTAAATAATGCATCAAATGGAAGTATGTATATTAATGGCTACTTTCTGCACCAATTGTTGTGAAACAAGCGAAGATAAAGAGATGCGCCATCTTTAATTTGAACGACGGTCGGCTCGCCTTTTAACCACTCAGCGTGTACGTTTTCATGATATGTGGGTTTGAAATAATGGCATGAGAAATTAATTTGCGTAAGGATGGATCTTCCATGATTAGATTCAGGTTTTGCTGAATTGTACCAGCCTCGTTTCCTAAAATCCGTAGTCGTTTGCTTCTTGTATTTATCAATTGTAATACTACTCGTAATATTATATATATGAATGGAGATTTTCTAAAAACTGTCCAGTCCCAGAGGATACATTTCAGGTGCCTGTCTAGCTGCAAGCTGTCCCAGAGGGATAACGTAACTCACCTACATTCAATACCGAAAAGGAAAAGAGCAGCAGATGTCACATTTCTTCATTTTAACATTTACTGAAAGTTTGTTTATCGATGCAAATAATAATAGTACAGTTGTAGACTTCTTATTACCAAGAACCTATTTATCTACAAATATAATGAACGAGATGGAAATAAGCTGTAAAAAACGGACTTTTAACTCCTTCCATAAGCCGCGTATTCGGAAAAACAGTAATTGCTAAAAAAGTGAAATTCACTCTATGAGTTATACCTTATAAAGAAAGGCACCAGCCACCAGGCGGTTACCGTACCTCGTTGTAAAGGTTAAATAGGACTGTGCATTTCAGCAAGTTTTACTATCATTAAAGTTTATGAGCAGGCAGTAAAGATTCCAAAGATTGTAAAACTTGGCGCTGGGCAATACATACCTTGTAGCGCGAATTAATCGTTAAATAATTTTTCACCACTTTCAGTCTTATAGTAGAAAATAATGTTGATTGCACTGTCAGATGATATTAACTGAAATTGTAGGTAGTGAAGGTTAGAAGTATTAGATATAAGCCTAGACCAGAAATGTTTACTGTATCCCTATTCTCAGAACGTAATCTTATTCAGGTAAGAATAATACGTAACGCAATATTCAATACGGACTACAAATTCCAGTGGGAGATTTATATAAATGTAATATACCTACAATGAAAGATGGCGTCAAGAAGATTGACTCTATGCTTCCCTTTTATGAGTACCATTAGTATATTATTCGGACTGTTGGTCAAACAAATTCTCAGATTGCAGAGTGTATCCGTACACGGTAGCCTCATTTGCATAATGCTCGCATATACAGGGTGTTTCAAATTCGACCCTCACCATTGGGATCTCGGAAACTGTAAGAGATACGAAGTGGAGCCAAAGTTGTATAATTCGGTAATCAACAAAGTGCCGCTTAGAAAGTTTAGAAATTCAAAGTACTTCCGGGGAAAGACGGAAAAAACGACTTTTCCCAAAATTGTTTTAATTTTTCATTTGTGGAGGGACCTCAAAATTGCACATTAACATTGCCACTTTCTCTCCTCTACAAAATGGCATAATTAAAATTTCAATATGACGTTTCATGTTGTCCGCCAGCATCAAATTTATTTTTCTTAAAGACGCCATATTCGATTTTTGCATAGATGAAAAGAGTTTTTAATTCTGATACGAAAAATATACGATACGGCATTCATTGAGGTCTCCCAAACCAAGTTATTTCAAAAAAGCAGAATTTCTTATGTAGGCCTTGAAATTATCAGACAGTAATTTGTCTCGCCTACAAGATTTATCCCAAACCACATTCATTTTTCCTGACTTTATTTGAGATGGAAATTCATAATAAAGTACATGCAGTTGTGCCAATTTTTCTCTTCTGCAAGGTGGCATAATTAGAATTTCAATATAACGCTTCGTAGCTTGACTTCCAGCATTAACTTTATGTTTTCTTATGGCCGCCATATTGGATTTTTGCGTAGATGAACAGAGTTTTTAATTCCGATTTAAAAAATATATAACGTCATAAATTGACATTGCCAAACCTAAATTATTACAGACGAAGACAAGTTCATAGGTAATTATCAGATTTCATTTGTTACATACCAGACCTCAAATTGAACATAGCACGTGAGTTTGGAAGACTGAGAAGAAGAGAAATAAATCGAGCAGCGAACAATGTTCAGAGAAGAGTCAGACTTTTCCTACGAAATAACGTATATTTTGAACACCTGCTATGATATACATCTGCTTATTTATGATTATTACTGTTATTACCATCAATAAAATTTTCATTTTGTACCTTTTTATCTCCTTATAATTTTTATCGAACAACAAACTCATGGCCATAAACTTTGGACATACATCACTGAATTTAGGACTGAAGAGTCCACTTAAATTTACAAAATACAATACAATATAGCGTCCATAGGGAAAAATAAATTTGACTACGCCATCTTGTAGCTGAGAATAAGTAACAATGACAATATGCAATTTATTTTGAAATCCCATCGCATATAAAGTCAGGATAACATAAAAGTGATTTTGAGTATGCTAAACAAATGACTATCTGAGAATTTCAAGGCCTACCTAGGAAATTCTGCTTTTTTGAAATAACTAAGGTTTGGCAAAGTCAATGTGTAATGTGTTTGGAATCACAATTAAAAACCTATTTGTCTGAGCAAGAATTCAATATAGCGTCTATAAAAAAAATGTTGCTGGAGGACAAGGAATTCTAATTACGCCTTATTGTAGAGGAGAAAAAGTAGCAATTTAACGTGTAATTTATTTTAGAATCCGACTACAAATAGAGTCAGGATAAAATTAAAATGATTTTGAGTAAATTCGTTTTTTTCTGTTTCCCTTCGGAAGTACCTTGAATTTCGAAATTTCCTAAGCGATATTTTATTGATTACCTAAATACGCAAGTTTGCCCTTATTTAAGCACCTTCGTATCTCTTACAGTGTCCGAGATCCAAAGTGTCGAATATGAAACATCCTGTATAGCTAATATCGCTCCTACCTCGTAGTTGCATATCGTATCACATACCTGTATTGCCTGTTCTTTCGCGGGGAGTCTCGAGTCGCATATATCTAAAAGCTGCGTAGAACTGTTAGGGCTGGAAATGTATTCATACAGGGTTATCCAAATTAAGTGTCCACCATTAGTAACTTTGTTATTAGTGAAAATACAAAGTTGTTTGAATTAGCAAACTAGTAGCATTTTTAACGCTGGTAAAAATGAGAAATAAAAAAAAAGAATTGAGAGTCGTTATTTTGATTTTTTTCAGTAAAATAACATTTTTTTGAATGGAAACCCCTGTATATTATATTTTTTTCTGTTAAAGCATCAAATTTTAAACAAAAAAGCTTACAATAACTTTTCTCCTAGGTTACAAATTGTTGAAGTTATGGCCTCCAATCTGAAACAATTAAATTGTATCGACAAACTTTATTTTCAACATCAACTTATAATCTTACAAAATACAATAACAATTTTTTTAAAAGAAGATGCTCGAAAACACCACCTTGTTCTTCAATACATTTTTGGGCACGTTTTTCAACTGCTCGAACTGTCTTAAGTATGGTCCTACCATCTATCTGGGTTATCCTTTCCCTAACTGCAGTCTTTAACGCGTCAAGGTTATCGTACCTTCGCTTGTAAATTTGGTTCTTTAAGTAACCCCACAAGAAGTAATCAAGTGGGTTTAGATCTGGTGATCTGGGAGGCCACTGTATTGGGCCATTTGTTCCTATCCACTGATCATTAAAAGTAGTACTTAGAAAATGATAAGTACCTCTGGAGTTGTGGGCAGGTGCGCCATCTTGCTGAAAATGCAGATGATGTCTACTTATAAGATCCAATTCGTCTAAGAAATTAGTCAGAATTTCTGACATAAATTCCACATATCTTTCACCAGTTAGGGTTCCCTCATAAAAGAACGGGCCAACAATTTTTGAACCAATTATACCGCACCAAACGTTGAAACTGAAACGGACTTGTGGGCTTCTTGGATGTACTAACAAAAGATTTTCTCTTGACCAATAATGGTGGTTTTTTCTATTAAACATTCCAGAATTTGAAAAATTTGATTCATCTGTCCATAAAAGGTAACGAAAGTTATTTACACTTTGGCGACAGAAGCTAAGATACCAATGGCAAAAAACAAGTCTTCTCTCTGGATCCCCTGCCAAAAGCGTTTGAACTGGTCGGTACTTATACGGAATAAATTTGTATTTTTTTAAAATCCTTTGAACAGTACCATAACTGAAATTAGAGTCCTTGAGCATATCTGCTATTGAATTCTCACGATAAGCTTCAAAATATCCAATAACTGCAATTTCCGTGGCCTCGCTTATTATGAATTCTTTTTTTGCCCTTGTTTTAGCAAATCATTTTCGTTGCCCCTAAATTTTCGATAAAGTCTCAGAAAATATCGTTCATACGGTTGAATGCGAGCGGGATATAATTCACTGTAGTATTCTCTTGCTCTCAAGGAGGATTTTCTGCACACTAAATAGCATTCTAACATATCACACTTTTCTTCATGGGAGAACATTTTTCTTTAAATTAATGACACAATAAAGCTTATAAACAAGTATTTACACTAATGTTTGACATTATTTGATTTTATCATTGTTTTCCAAAGCCTTCTAGTTGCAAGTATGTCCAGTTTAACAATTTGTCGCTTATCTTAATGCTGTCAAATCGCGAACGCCATGTTGTTTTCATAGCCGTCTTAATATTATAATACTGCAAATAATTAAAAATATTTATCGTTATTTTGACTTTATTTTTGACTTTAGCGGAAAAGTCATTATGAACTTTTTTGTTTAAAATTTGATGCTTTAACAGAAAAAAATATAATATACAGGGGTTTCCATTTAAAAAAATGTTATTTTACTGAAAAAAATCAAAATAACGACTCTCAATTGTTTTTTTTTATTTCTCATTTTTACCAGCGTTAAAAATGCTACTAGTTTGCTAATTTAAACAACTTTGTATTTTTACTAATAACAAAGTTACCAATGGTGGATACTTAATTTGGATAACCCTGTATACCTACTAACACAAAAATAT